CTCCTCCTTGGGCAGCACGTATGTACCTCTGCAGGAGCCTTGGTGACTTTGTCTACCTGGCAACACTAGGCTAAGATCAGTGAGTGTTAGTTGTTGTTGGGAGCCTTTAAAGAATCATTGTAGAAGACACTAGAATCACCTTTGTGATTACTTCCTCAACCTGGTTCGAGCGTCTGTAGTTTATGTGATTCTTTCAATCCCCTGCTAATTTACCAGCTAGAATGTTTCCTCTGGAATTGTGTTCTGCATTGAAGACTAGAAGGCCTCTTGTAGCTTTCCCAATACTTAAGTGGGCAGCCTTAAACATGTGTATATATAGGAAACACTAACTAGACTCAATGGGGGGTGTGTGTGTCAATAAGAAGGTAAAGAAAAAAATTAGGGTACATTTTTCCCTCTGCCAGGGACAAGGGGTTATTTTTTTTAAAATATATACTGTATTATCTCATATTCTTTGATAAGCTATACCATTAAGAGAAAAATATATAGGCAAAAAATAGAAGTTGGCTTTATAAAGATCAGTTCTAGAGCTCTTAGGAAAGTCATTGTAATGATTCTGCACACTCAAGTTTTTACTTAACATAATTGAAATCTTTGAAGGCAGTTTTACATTAGTTCTTTTCTTACAACTTAATTGCAGTTTATCTTTTATTACCAGAAGCATAGAGTTGGCACTTGAGCATTCATTAAAAAATTCTATTATAAGATTTCTTAAAATTCATTTTAGAGTTCAAATAAATACACATTTAAAAAATTTAAACAGTTCATAAGATCTCAAGTTGTCAGAAGTTGACATTTTAAAATTCAAATATACTGTTGTTCAGTTCAGTTTTGCGTTGGTTGATTTTATTGTACCTAGGGTCTTGGTTATTGAGAAAAAATAGTAGACAGGACACAGGACATAGCCATGATTACATTAAAAAAACTTTATTTTTGTTTCTATAAACAATCAAGGATTTGAAGTTGTAATAATCACCAAATGGCTTAGGGAGAGTGAGAAATCCTTGGCATCTCACTGAGTCTACATCAGACTGAAATTCATCAGAAATGAGATGGCCTGAATATGTTTAGAGTCTGACTTTGAAATGTCGGAGCTGAATTGAAGCTATTAGTTTTCTGTGGAGCAGTGTCTTTCTCCAAGGGAAAAAGAAAGGCATTGCTTCTGCGGAGCTGCTGCCTGCCGCCTCTGAAACTCTAATTGCTTGTCAGCACAGGGCAGGGTCAGTGGCCTGGGCTCGATGAGAGCTGAACCCGTGCTGCCTTCTCCCAGGCAGTTCAAACTGGGGATCTGTATCATTGAAGCCTTAGATTAAAAGGGATTTTTAGGTAAAGCAGGTGAGATTTTGACGTATACCGCAGTACATGTTCAAACCCACTTCTTTTCCTTAAGTGAATATTTTGTTTTGTGTATAGATTTTGTAAGTGTTAATAAGCATGCTTGAGTACAGAGATCTGGTAACTGTAAGTAATTATTAATTACTTTCTAAAATGATAATTAGTTTGTAAAGAATAAGTTTAGGGCTAGAATATAGCTCAGCTCTAGAGACCCCAAGAAGTCCTGAGTTCTATTTCTGACAGTATAGAAAACTTTTAATTATAATTTACTTTGTTTTACATGGGTTTATGCTCAAAAAACTTGACTGCAGAGCTTTATTTCTAGACTAGTGACCCTTAAGTTTATAGGAGCATTAGTATAATTTATATTGGGGTAAAGTTTGGCACACTAACACGTCCTTACTAATCTGGGTATTCTTAGCACTTGTTATGTGCTTGCCTAGCCCCTGTGTTATGTTCTTAAGCAGTCTTATTATTATCTGAGCATAAAATAAATTGATACTTTGTACCTATTTTCAAAGATTTTTTCTTATGTTTTTCTCTAACATTAATGGAAATTATTTGAAAAACTTTGTGTGTTTCTATATATAGCTTTGGCTTTCTTACATAATCCTTTTCTTTGTCTAATCTTGTTTCCTGCCTTTCTTTGGTCACCGTTTTGTCCCAGGTGTGTCCTCACGGATTCTAACTAGTGTTCAATGACTGTGTGCCTTTTGGTAGTACTTAATGCCACTATTTGTCTAACGATTCTCCTGTTTGAGACAGTTTCCAAATGTTTCTAATCACAAGCACTGTATTTTCATACTGTTCTGAAAAATCTCTTCTGATTTTGACCTTTTTCAATAAAATTTAGGAACAGGTTCACTGAGGAGCTACTATTTAGTCATAGACAGTGAGTGGGCACCAGAGCAGTCATTAATCCTGAGGTGTCTGCTTCTGTGACTTGCACTCTGATGGTACTGATAGGCGGCAGAGGTTCTGGGTTCTGGGAATCTAAATAAAGATCAGGGAGTAGGCGTTCTAATGAGTGATATTTCTCCTGTTCCTGTCTTAGTCAGTGATGTGCATCTTTCCTGTAGAATGTCAGATGCCTGGCAAAGGGAAAGGAAACAAAAAGTAAGTTTGCAAAGGACAAATTAACCCAGCAGACAGCTTCACTGTCTGTTCTCTGTAGGTTAGTAATTGGATCTGCCAGAAAGAACTGACACCAGATTAACGAGAGGGAGGTATGCAGGCTCATTACATGCAAGTCCGAGGGCATGTTGCAGGGGTAAAAGGTGAACCAATACCCGAGCTGTGGTAGTTCACAGTCCCCAGCAACGTCTTCATGGACGGCTACAAGTCCCCTGCAGCAGCCTGCTTATTCGTATTCATGGTCAGGAACCTTGAACTGCTCCGTATTGCCACCCCCCTCCACACACACACACACACACACACACACACACACACACACACACACGCACATGCAGAAGCAGTCACTGGGTCGTCAGTGGCCCTTATTTAAGCATGCACACTGCTCTTAGTGACTCAGAACTGCCACATGTGCTTGAGTCTCTAGGCTCTGCCCTTCCTAAGGCTGACCAACCTGTAGCTGAACCACAGCCTACAGTGTGCCACCCAGAAAGCAAGGCAGTAGTGCTGCTGGCGTTCAGCTGTTTAGAATTCGCAGGGAGCTCGAGATGTGCTTCACAAAGAAAATGTTTGAACACTGGAAAATTAAGTGTTACATAAAAATGACAAATAGAAAATATATTTTAAAAAGAAAGGAAATGTTGAACCTTATGTATCCAGCAAATGCCAGACCTAGCAAACTATGATAGTCTTCTATCTTTGATTTAAAAAATCAAAGATAAAAATAGTAAAATATAAAAATAACTAATGTTTTATAATCTCTGGGGGAAAATCAGCAAAGGACTATCATTTAAAGCAGTCCTTTCTTTAATTTTGTAATTTTGGACTGTGGACTACCTTAGGATGTCAGCTCTGTTTAACAGAATTGATAAAGAGCAAGGAAGCAGAATTTTCATTAGAAAATTCTTGATTTGATTAAAAACTCCTTAAATAATTGAGCGTGTGTGTTTATGGGTTTACCTAGTAACCCAATGAGACTGAGCAGCTTATGTATGCTGCAAAGCAGAGGAGGAAGAGGAGAGCTGAAAGTACTTCTTGGGGTGGGAAGTGAGTTGACGGGGAGTGAGAAAAGGACCCTGGCTTGTCTGGAAGTCAGGCTATCCCTGAAGCCGTGAAGGGAAGGTATCCTGGATACATACCTACAGCTCTGGAGGGGAAGTCAGGCTATCCCTGAAGCTCGGGTCTGGTGGGGGATGGTCTCCCCACAGGATCCGGCAGTCCTTTACAGCTGACCTCTGCTCTGGCCCAGAAGGGAGTTTCCCAGCAGAGACACCTATTTCTTCTTAGCTCCTGCCCAAGATGTTACTTCCCCTTCACTCTGCTAAGGGGAGACCCCTGCAGAAATGTGGCAATCTGCTCTGGCTCCTGGGAAAAGTTGTTATTTCTGCTCCACTCCCAAGGGAATTTCCCAGCAGAGGTATCCCTTTCATCTTCTGCTCTGCCCCGCTTAGGGAGCTTCCCAGCAGAGATTCTGCTCCATGCTGGCCAAAGAACATTGTCACCCAAAACTCTTTTCAGAAAGCGATTTATTTGGGAAGGAGTCCAGCAGAGTGGCTGCCTCTGCCAGGGTGGAGAAGGACAGCTACTAACTGAACAGGCACAGGGCTTATATAGGACTTCCTGGGGGCAGTGTTTCCAGGGAGAAGATTGTCAGGGGGAAATGGTCAGATTTTGATCCCTTGAGCTTAGACAAGCTCAGACTGGCTAGATTTTGTGCTCAGGGACTGGTTGGTTTTCCTGCTCAGCGACTGGTTGGTTTTCCTGCCCAGGGATTGGTTGGTTTCCTGCTCAGGGACTGGTTGGTTTTCCTGCTCAGCGACTGGTTGGTTTTCCTGCCCAGGGACTGGTTGGTTTCCTGCCCAGGGATTGGTTGGTTTTCCTGCCCAGGGATTGGTTGGTTTTCGTGCTCAGGGACTGGTTGGTTTCCTGCTCAGGGACTGGTTGGTTTCATGTTCAGTGGGACAGAGGCAGAGTTGGCTCTGGTTTCAGGGCCACACTGTGTTTCTTTGATTGGTCCTTTTTAGCCTTCTGGCTCTAGTTTCAGGGCCAGGGTGTGTTTCTTCACTGGCTCTGGTTCCAGGGCCAAAGTGTGTTTCTTTGGTTCTGGTTTTAGGGCTAAAGTATTTCTTTCATTGGCTCTGGTTCCAGTGCCAACGTGTTTCTTTGGGTCTGGTTTTAGGGCTAAAGTGTTTCTTTCACTGGCTCTGGGTTCAGGGTCAGGGTGGGTTGTTTCTTTCACTGGCCTTTTTACCATACAGTTATATTAACAGTTTTCCTCTGAAATGGAGGAGATTGAAAAAGCTGTGTTCTTCCAGATAATAAAATGATGACAGATACTCAACTAATAGAACACTGAAATGTTGCAGGGTCACCTTACAGCACGTTAAATAACGTGGTGGGGTTTGTGGCCAAAACATGTCTGTCCTTAAATCTGGGAATACCTAAAGCGGTGTGGACAGAATTGGTAGAGTTCAGTCATGTTCATGGATGTTTATGAATGTCAGCCATCACATCCGTGTGTCTTTACATCACAGCCTGTCCGGCACATGAAGTACTCCTTGTTTAGGAAGTCTCTCCTGGGCAGCGTTTCGGATAACGGAGTAGTGACCCTCTGGGATGTGAACAGCCAGAGTTCATACCACAGCTTTGACACCACACACAAGGCTCCAGCGTCAGGCATCTCCTTCTCGCCTGTCAATGAATTGCTGTTTGTCACCATAGGCTTGGATAAAAGAATCATCCTCTATGACACTTCAAGTAAGAAGTAAGTGTGATAATGATCCTGAGTATTTGTTTTGAGTTCGGATCTCACCTACCCAAGGCAGGCCTCAAACTTGCCAGTTAGCTAAACATGACCTTGAACTGGAGATCCTTTGGTGGTACTGAATGCTCGAATTACAGGTGTGTCACCATACCCAGCTTCTGTGGTACTTAGGGTCAACCTAGAGTGCTGGGTATGCTAAGCAAGCACTGTCCACTAACCTACACCAGCTCTAAGGTGTCCATGCTTTAATTTACCAACAGTTACTTCATTAACAGACATGTCTGTGACTTAGACAGGGTTCTGTTACTATCAGCGGGATCTAATATTTGTACATTGGATGTATCTAATATGAAAATTTTCTTGTGTTTTCTCACATAGAAAAGAATAATGAATATAGCATGGACATTAGGATGCTTTTAGACTATGAATGTTTTGAGAGAGAGAGAGAGAGGGAGAGAGACTGAGATTGATTCATTATATGTCTTTATTTCATCAGTCTTAAGATTCTTTTGTAAAATACAACTGAACACACTTATTTTTTTAAAGCAGTTTTGTTTTAAATTTATTTTCTGTACCAAAGTTTCTAAACTAGTTATATTTTGGTCTGGTGTTTCTCTGTTATGGGTGCCGTCCTGAGCTCTGTAGTATCTTTCAGCACTGTCCTTGGTCTCTCCCCACCAAGCACAGTGGCATTTGCTGAGTTATGATAGTCTCCAGACATTACCAGAGAGATCCCTGAGAAATGTTGGCCCTGCTTAGCTCGATGATCTTCGAACCGTTCAAACCCTTCTTTTGGGATAACTGCTTAAGGTAGAACTTTATTTCTTTTTTTTTTTTTTTTTTTTTTTTTTTTGGTTTTTCGAGACAGGGTTTCTCTGTGTAGCTTTGCGCCTTTTCCTGGAACTCACTTGGTAGCCCAGGCTGGCCTCGAACTCACAGAGATCCGCCTGCCTCTGCCTCCCGAGTGCTGGGATTAAAGGCGTGCGCCACCACCGCCCGGCTAGAACTTTATTTCTTAAAAGAAGAAAAGGCTGCTAGAATTGTGTTTAACGATAAGCAGTATTTAAAGATCATGTAGAATTTGGAGGTTGCTATCGGGAGATTCCAGACTGGGGCCTTTCGCCAGTACACCAGTGACATGGTTCACTGTCTGGCAGCCTCTGGGCTCAGTAAGCCTCTTTTCCTCCTCTTTGTCTAGTACCAGATAGACCAGCAGAGAGCAAGTCAGTCTCCATCGGCCACATGAACTGTGTTGTTTCTAGCCTCTTGGTCAAGAGATGTACAACTCAGAACAGAGGAGCATCTGCTCCTGTGAAAGGTCGCAGTCCCCCCAGAGACAAGCAGGCCACTAAGTGGAAACTGGATATGTGGTGCCCGCTCAGCCCTGAGGCTGGTGGCTGTTTGTAAGTGACACTAGGGACTTGTCACACTCCCTGCCATAGAGTACTGGCTGGAGGGAGTAGGTGGTCTACCTGGAACATGTCAGTTGTGTCTTTGATGTGAGTAGAAAGTAGGGTGCAGTGTCCAGTCCTTTACAGGACAGACTCCAGGCTGCTGTAAGCAGCTGTCTGTGGTATGCATTGCTTGCCCAGGTCTGACCGAGTGTTTTTGATCAATAGTTGTGTCCTCCAAGCTTCTACTCCCATGTATACTAATACGATTGCACATCTCCTCCTCGTCCAAAGGCTGGTGAAAACTCTAGTGGCTGAGGCTCCTCTGACCGCCGTAGACTTTATGCCTGATGGAGCCACTTTGGCTGTTGGATCCTCCCGGGGGAAAATCTATCAGTATGACCTAAGGATGCTGAAATCCCCCGTGAAAACCATCAGTGCCCACAAGACATCTGTGCAATGTATAGCATTTCAGTACTCCACGTCTCTGATGAAGGTGAGACGTTCTCTTCCATATTTTCAGGTTTACAAAAAATCCCTAGCTCAGAAAATGAAAATTATATCTTGTCCACGAAACACAGCATTGTATTGCTTCCTAGTGATTTTATATGGTGACATTATACATAGTTTTAATATAAAGCCATCTGAGACTTGATTTTAAATTTATTTAATATTTAATTCTTATGTAAACCTTCATCAAAAGTACTCTAAAATGCATTTTTGTTTAGAGCAAGCTTCAAATATATAAAAAGAAAAATTAAGTTTTTAATTTAGCAGAGCATTTATGAAATATTAATGTATAGTATGCCATATTAGTAACCTGAGCTTTTAAATATTCTCTTCCATTCAGGCAAGTTTAAGTAAAGGCTGCTCAAATAAGGCCCCATCAGGGACCAAACGGAGTGTTGCTGTGAGCAGCAGCGGTGGGGCTGCTCAGAATTCTGGAACTGTCAGAGAAGTAACCACCCCTTCCATTGCCACAGTTCTCCCACAGCCCGTGACGACAGCGTCGTCGGGCAAAGGAGCCGGTGCTGCCCAGGACAAAGCAGGTAATTTTCCTTATGTTGGAGTGTGCTGAGGACTTTGTCTTTCCCCAAATATCACGTAATTAGCACCTTTTTTTGAGAACCTTGGACACATTTGAGTATTTAGGTAAAACTGACTTGTAGACACTGTTGAAGAAGTGAAGCTTACTAACTTTACCTTGTTAAAGAGCTCTTGGGAGCACTTAGCTGAAGTCCTGTTGTGAGAAGGAACGATTCTTTTAGAGAAGTCATTCCTCTTGAACACTCCCTCCCTCAGACTGTCTGAGTGTGTGTGCTGAGCAGAGGGTGGGAAGGAAGAAGGAAGGTCATGCTGTGTGCTGAGCAGGGGGTGGGAAGGAAGAAGGAAGGCCATGCTGTGTGCTGAGTAGAGGGTGGGAAGGAAGGCCATGCTGTGTGCTGAGTAGAGGGTGGGAAGGAAGGCCAGTGCTCTGTCTTTGGTTTGACCTCATGGTTCCCGATGTTTCATGTCATAAAATGGAAAGTCAGTCAGGTGATAGGACGGATATTTGGAAATGGCGAATAGTGCCTGGCACACATTTACCTGTTAGTTTGTTCATGGAGAGTTTATAGTGTGCAGATGATCTCCTCTGATAACCTGTTGACTCCTTCCGGTCAGAGAAAGGTGCAGTATAAGAGTGGGTTCACTGTACCGAGAGCAGAATCTAGGACCACAGTCTGTGACTTCTCAGAAAACACCTTACCCTCCATAGTGACGCACATACCCTGTCTTCTACTGCACAGGACGGGTCCTCCCTTCTCAGCATGAGCTTACTGCTTCTACATAGCAGCAGATCCAAACGTGCTGACTCCGATAGTGTGGGGGTAACTTTTCATTATCAGTTTCCTGTGAGGGTCTGTGTCGCTCTCACAGAATAGTCACAACACACACACACACAGAAAAATAACCAGGTCCATATTTAAGAACTTGAAGACTGTCTACTTAGAAGTTATTTTTGAAGTATTAACTGAATAATGTCTCCTAAAATGCTGAATTAACTGTATTATGAAAATTTGCCATGATTTTCATAAATGATTTGCAATTCTTCTTCATAACTTTAAAAGATTAAAACAGTAGCCTATAAGCCGTGAACTAGCGTTATTGGTCTTTAATAAGTAGTTCTTCTTCAAGGATAACTGCACGCCTTAGCAATTGAAGGCTTGGGTCTGCTGGGTTACTGGTTAATGACAGCTCTTAACAGAGTCTCAAAGTTTCTGGCAAAGTAAGTATTTGGTTTGTCTCTGCAAATAGCTTTCTGTCTACTTTGAAATAACTGTCACCTTACAGAGAAGTTTTGCTCACAGTGGTGAGCTCCTCAGCTCTGCCCTTTGGCAGACTCAGTACTGCATAAGCTTTGTCCTACTTGTGCTTCTGTACTCTGTCTCACACACACAGACACAGTTTTGTTCAGCCTGTGTGTCTCGTGTGTGTGTGTGTGTGTGTGTGTGTGTGTGTGTGTGAGAGAGAGAGAGAGAGAGAGAGAGAACATGCACGTGTTCTGGTGCAGGTGTGCTGTGTGTGCCGATGTGCATGGAAGCCTGAAGACAGCTTTGGGTGCCACATTCCTTAGGTACTGTCCACTTTAATTTTGGAATCAGAGTTTCTCTCTGGCTTGGAACTTGCCAAGCTAGCTGGCCAGCAAGTCACAGAGATCCATGCTTCTGCCTCCCCATTGCCAGTGCTCGGATTGCAGGCACCCTGCTATTCTTTTCTTGTGGGGTCTGGGGATCATCTTCAGCTTTTACTGCTTATAGGGCAAGCACTGTTCGGACTGAGCCATCCTGGGCTCTACTCTCATTGGCTTCCCTTTATACACTAAGATAATGTTTAACATTTAAGATGATTATGGCAGTCCGAGAAGATGTATCCCAAATGCCTGGCACAAAGACACTCAGTGAACCATAGTATTGGTGATACTGGGCCTGGCACATGAGACACTCAGTGAACCATAATATTGGTGATACTGGGCCTGGCACACGAGACACTCAGTGAACCATAGTGTTGGTGATATTGTAGTCATGGTCATGACCATGACGATGACAGACTAAAGTTTTAAAAATTCCTGTTTTTGCTGGAATTATCCAACTTACTTATTGAAAAGAACCTCTGTAGACTTGTTGCTGGTCCTCAGTTTAAGTAGGAAATAGCAATTTTTAAGAAGTGAAAATTAAGGCTTTAGTACTGTTTCTCTATGATACTAACTCTCTGTTTCAAAGGCTAGGACATCCATTCAGATATGTTAAAAACCTAGAAAAAAGGAAGACACTCCTCCCTGCCCTCATTCTTCCTTTCATCCCGCTCACTGTGTAGCCGAGCTAGCCCTGAATTCCTTAGCCTCCCAGTGCTGGTTTACAGCTGTGCATCACTGTCCCAGCTGAAACCACTGCTGTAAACACCTGTCAGTGCTGGGATGGACAGGAGCTTTGGTTTTCTAGCAGTTGGTTAAGTTCATTTCTTTAGCCAGGCTTGGTCAGCTTTGGAAATCCAGTCATCTGTTCCATCTCAGGCTTTTCAGCTTGAGATCAAGGTGCCAAGTCAAGCTCCTTTTAAAATATACAGCAGCATGCTGCCAGTCCAGGAACTGGAGTTCACTTAGTTGCTGCATCTTCGGAGAACTCACACCCCTAACACAAGCAAGATGGTCCTTGATCTATGGTTTCTCCCAGAGTCTTAGCTCTAAGGCCATGCACTAGCAAGCCCTTAGCTGTTGCCCACTGTACTATCTTTATGAATCTGCTACTCCTTTCCTTATTGCCGGTAACAAAGTGAGTTACTGAGTCCTGTAGTTTGAGAATGCCGAGAGTCGGGTTAAGCCCCCACTATTAGTGAGGGAAGAGTTTGGATGGGGATCAGAGGCCTGCTTTCTGCAAGGTGGGGAACAAATGTTAGCTGACTCCTGTTGTACCTCAGGCCTCATGCTTATGCCTAGTAGATTTGTCTCAGTCATTTATAGACAGTCAGAAGCATAACAGACATACATTGTATTCGGTGTACTTTAAGAGGGCAGCAAAAACATATTGATGATATTAGAAACTTTCTACTGAAGTGAATCCTATGAACAAATGAGCTGTTTGTTTTGAAAAGTCCTTCACTGACATATTCTGCTGCTTTCCTTGATGCTCAATTATAAGATTGCCACAATATGGGTAACGTTCATTTTTGCAATCTAGCTTCTGGTGGTAACAGCTATTTAGATGTATGTTACAGCACTGATTTTTGTATCTGATTCTCCCAAGGCCTGCCTCGAAGCATAAATACAGATATTTTATCTAAGGAAACAGATGGTGGAAAAAGTCAAGATTTCTCCAGCTTTGATGATACTGGGAAAAGTAGTTTAGGTGACATGTTCTCACCAGTCAGAGATGGTAAGTGTGCAGGTCAGTGGGCGTAGTCTCTCGCTTCTGTTCGACGGGGGTCTGAGCCATATAATGGTTTATTGACTTTCTCAGTTCCTGAGTGGGATCTTTCCTGTACCCTGTATGTGAGAAGTTAACATGCCAAAGCAAATGCTGGCCGTTGGACATGGCTCCTAAGATAGCATTTTAATTTCCATAAGGGTTGATCCTCCCCACACCCCTGTCCTAGGGATCCACCCTAGGTCTTCTGTATGTTAGGCAAGTGCTCCATCTCTGTACTTAGGTGCCAACAGAATTTCTTAAAGGAGTTTCTACCATTATAAGCAATCTTTGACTTGTATGTGCTTCAGATAAACCTCCCTAAAACCTTGGATGCTTGGTATATAAAAATAAAGATTGTTAGTATTTATTTGATATTAATTCAGTGTGTTCATGGGTAGGGAATAGAGTGCCTCTTCTTTTGCACTTCTGTACGATAGTTTCATGTGTATATTGCATCATCTCCGCCACCACCCTGCAGATGTCACATTAAAAAGAAGCCTCTGCCGCCTTGATGCCTAGACACAGTGTATGTCATTGTCCGGCTGTGCTTTCTCAGCTCTCCTGAGGCTCACACGCCTTCGTGGGATGGGTTCAGTGCTAATAGCAGGTGTCAGTGATCCAGGCAAATATCTAGAGGGTTATTGGATAGTTCAATTATTCATACTTTCTGTTAATTCCATTTCTACCAATTACCTCAGAAAATATTCAGAGACATCTGTAAGATTTGTGTGTTTACTGTTTTATTTATAATATTGAAAAAACAGAAAAAATCTAAGTGTCCATAGTAGAGGATTTAAACACACACAGAGGGGGCGGGGGATAGAGCAACTTTTCATTTAAGACTGAAGAGCTTTTTTGCAGGTGTCTAAGTTCGTGAATTCTTTTAGTTGCTGCACTGTTTTTCAAATGTAAAATGTGAGGTGTGTGTCTCCATTTATTGAGGCTTCATCTTCGTGGTAAGGAAAACATGGTCAGATACAATGTTTGCTTTTGTTGACTAGAAATTGGTCGGTCTCAAGGGTGCAGTTCTCCAAGGAAAAGGCTTAATCTTTGTGCCTCGGTTTCTTCATCTGTTAAATAAAAACAATTTTTATATTAGGAAGAATCCAAAAACTTACTTTAAAAAGTCTGCATGCATACACACATGCACGTGTGTGTGTGTGGGGCGGGGGGGAGTGAGAGGAGAGGGTAAGAGGTGGGAGTGTTAGTATGTGATGTGTAGCTTCTAGGTAAACATACATACGCAGATAGCAAGATTTCTGATCAGGTAATCATTTGCTATTGGCTAACCATGTGTATTTCTGATGAATTTGTGAGTGACCTTTGTCCATTCTTCTGTTAATGTGTTAACATTGAGTTCACAGTTTTTGTTATATATTGGTAAATGAATAATTACAATATTGCAATAGTCTGCGATTGACGTTAATGTCAATAAAACCATATGTTTTTATGACATTGTAATACTTGTAAAATATTCTTATTTAAATTAATTACCCAAACAATTTTGCCAGATAATCAAGGCATTATCTCTAGTGTAAATATGCAAACATTGTAGTTTAACTGTATCAGAAGCTTGCCCCAATCAGAAAGGCACCAGATAGAATAAGCAAAACTGGGTCTTTGATACCTACTTCAGGGATTGTTCATGCTCTGCTGTCCCCTTCCATGACCATAGGATGGACCTTCAGATTTGCTGTTCGGCAGGAAGCTAAAAAAATCAGAGGGAACATGTATTCGTCTCCTGATGATGTTTGACTTCAGTCATACTCCAGAATGTCAGTCTCTGGACTCTTGGGAGAGCCAATAGGAAGCCTAAGCTGCTACAGATTGTTTTCCTGCAATTTTCCAAAACTTAAAAGTTTATTATTTGAAAATGTTGCAAATAAATAAATAACTTGATTTTGTTAATTTATTCTAGATGGTGTAGTCAACAAGGGAGGTGATGAATCTGTAGGCAAAGGCGATGGTAAGAAATCTAAGGACATATTTTCATGAAAATCCGAAGCAGTGCTGTCCCCGCCGCTGCGTCACAACTCACCCACTGCTTTAGCTTTAGGTAGCAAACGCTTGGCCTCTCACTGTTCCTGTGACTTGAGCATCGCTTGGCTAGCTGCCTTGGGCTTCAGGTCATTCCTTCCTTGATGCTTCAGTTGAGGAGTCAGCCAGAGCTGCATTCAGCACTGCTTCCAAGCTCATTTGTGTGGCTTCTAACTGGAGAGACCGTTTCCTGCCCCTTGGGTATGCCCTTGGTCAAGCTGCCAATAGAGCAGCTGCTTTCTTCAGACGAGACAGAGAATGGGCTTCCACAGCGAGGCCATGCTGTACCCTGATCTTGGAAGTGATGTCACACCACTTTTCCCACATTCCTTTTCTTTGTCTAGCTCACGTGCAGACCTAGGAATGTACACAGCATGGAGGTCGAAGGCACGAATCATCAGGGTCGCCTTACAGGCTGCCACAGACACATGCAAATTAAAACACTTAGTTATCAAGAACTAATGCTGTTAAAACAATATTGTGCTTTGTAGTTTTCAAAGTATTGTCACAAGAAAAGAAACTTTTTAAGACATTCTTGCCATGTAGTCCAGGCTGGCTTGTGCACATTAGTCTTCCGAAGTGCATCGATGTGCCTGGGCATGTGTGGTTTTAAAGGCTCACCACACTTCCACATAGGAAATACAGTTTCAAGCTGTGAAAGAATATACTCCCAAATCCATATCAGCTCTGGGAAATAGCTAAGAAATAAGCCAGTCCTCGGACTCCAAATCCCATTTTTTTGCTGAATTATTTGCCATCATTTTGAGTAGGTGCTTATACCAAGTGTTGTTTAAGGTTGGTAAACATTGTGTGCATATGGCATTTCTTTTCCCTTTTTCAGGCCTGGACTTTCTGTCACAGCTGAACTCCGTGTTCCCCCCGAGAAAGAATCCAGTCACTTCTGGCACTCTGGTCCTGCACTCCAGTCCTCTTAGTGTCTTTACGGGATCCCCAGTGAAAGAGGAAAATGAAAGTCATGAGCTGACGGCTGAGGCAAAGAAAACTTACCTGGGGAAGCAGGAGCCTAAGGAGTCCTTGAAGCAGGTATCCACTGAAACGTAATACCCGAATTCAGTGTCTGTCACTCAAAACGGGGACCACCGGTGGATGTCTTCATTATTAATGCCATGTACTCACTGGGCAGGAAAAGTTTAAATCTTGGTGTCAGTTTTTAATAACTGAAGAACATCTTTGAAGCCTGTCAGACCTTGTCTGTGTTGAAGGTAACTACTCATCTGCAAGAAAATACCTCATAACTCTCCTTTTTGGGGGAGAAATGATTTTTATTCTCATGAAGGCAAGGGAAAGAATCAACTTCAGGTTTAAAAGAGAAAATCAAGTTAAAATAATGTATGTCGTTACCCTAAATCTGTGTACGGTCTTCATTCTCGTTGAGGAAAAGAAAGTTCCAGCTAACTCTTACTTCTGAGAAGTAAAGCTAAACAATGGTGATGTGTCTTTGTTTTCATTCACTGTGTCTGCTTTGAATAGTGCCCATACTTAATGAAAAGCTTAATTTCTTAAGTTGAGATAAAAGAAAATTGCTATGTAGAAAAGGGGAAAATTCTTTTAAGATGTATTTCCACTGCAGCCTAGAACAAGCTGGTGCTCAAGTTGTTCTTAGTGTTCAAGCAAATCTGAGGTGGCTAAGAACCACTAGTGTTAGCACCTTGAGGTCAAAGGTCGTAGGAAGGTCGAAACTGTAGGTGTGCAAATGTCTGTGTTTTCTAATTTATATTTAAAACTAGAACTCAAAAGATAATGAAGTCGGAAATGTAAAAATGTCTTTTATTTCCAGATCTTTCTGTCTAGTTAATGTGGGGCGTCCAGGGATGGCCTCCTCCCCTTCTCCCTCCCCACCTCTTTCCGGAGTTTGCATTTGAGTGTAATGGACAGGTGCTTAGTAAATGAGCCTTTTGTAAATAGTCACCTCTTTATTAATTATTAACTTGGTTTGCTGCTAGTATTAGCCTCTCAGTCTTTCTCTGTTCCTCATTTCCCCGACCCTACCTACTGGGGGGGAAAAGGGAGAACTGGAGAAAAATTTTATGGGGAATAAGGTCAACTAAGCAACGACATATTAAAGTGACTGTTTGTTTTCAATACAAAGTTTACAAAGTTGATCTCTGGTGCTGAACCTGGAATTCTAAATACCTCTCCATCATCTAACCAAACAAGAAATCTTGAAAAATACGAAAAGCCAGAAAAAGAGATTGAAGCCCAGTTGATACATGAACCCTCCGTCAACGGATCCTCAGCTCCAAGTAAGCACATTGAAGGTCCTTGTGTTTGAAAATGTGCAGTTGGTCCCAGCGTGAGTGAGTGGTTAAATCCAGTGACACTGGTTTGAGCTTCCTCCTCACTCTAACGTGGAAGGGTTTGATTTAATTCACTGTACATAGAATGAAGTGAGACTCTTTGAAAAGGCATGGTTAATTACCTGAATTCTGTAAAATATTTGTATTCAAGTTTTATCCTTAGAATCATGCCATAGACTCCTAAGACTCAGTTGCATATAAGGGAGCTAAGTTGATCTGTAAGAACTGCCTGAGAGAATCTCTTTCCAGAGAGGCCAGCAAGTCCACTGCATTTGTTAAACTCTAGGGCTTTGCCTGGGGCACTGTTCACTCCCGTGGTCCTCCTGTTTGTTATAATAGTCCTGGCTTATCTGGTTTGTGGTGCAGCTTGTCACATACATCTTTTATAAGAGGAATGATTCAGGGACTCTTCAAGATGAATCCCTCTGTCATGTGTTATTACATTAGACAGTTGGCGGTTTATATATACAGATAAATGACTATTAGAAATAATGACATAGAAAGTTTCTAAAATTTGTATTCCAGACCCTGGGTTTTTCTAAATGACACAGGAACATCGTTCTTTTGCAGTTCCCCAAGTCTTCCTTTACCAAACCTTATTTAGAAATGTTTGATGTCTCGTAGTCCAACTAAACTATTACTGTTTCCTCCATTTGTTTAGTTCCAAAGGTAGCACCCTCTGTCATCGCTGGAGTAGCCAGTTCCCTCTCAGAAAAAATAGCCGATACTCTTGGGAACAGTCGGCCAAATGCACCCCTGACCTCGGTTCAAATCCGCTTCATTCAGAACATGATTCAGGAAACTCTGGATGACTTCAGGTAGCAGCAATGAGTCACAGAATTTGTTTTTGCATGTGTGAAACCAGAGCCATTGGTGATTGTGTTGTGTGTCTAGGCTCTGACGGCCACAACACCGTAGAACACGGGAAGTCTTATCTTTCTGTGCTGAGCTATGGAAAAAGGGACATTAATCTGGAGCAGCAAAAAGATAACGTGATGGAAAAGTCCAGGGTGCAGGATGCCCTTGCAGATTCGGTCTTCATCATCAGAATGTGGGCAGATTTTTTATATACTCAGATGTAGTTCTTCCATGCCACACTTATAGATCACCGTTAGATGCGCTGTGGGAAGTGATGTGTGAGACGTAGACGTCTACGCATGTTTTATCTTGTTTGGGGGGCTGGGATGGGGGCAGACGTCACTTTACACATGTGACAGTCAAGAGGCCAGCTTGCAGGGTCAGTTCTCTTTCTGCTCTGTGGAACTCCAAGTCTGCGGGCTTGACAGCAAGTGTCTGCAGCCACTGAGCCATCGCCCAGGCCTGACAGATACCTCTAAAGTGTACTTCTGAGTGTTTTCGGATAGAGCACATCGGAGTGTTACAAGTCAATAGGAAATCTCTCTGTAACTTAACTGTTCTTCCCGTCATTTGAATTTTCATTATGAAGTTATGTTTTGATGACTGTTCCTCCTACTGCCTTTAGGTATGGCTCTAGGATTTTAGGTCATCATAAATTAAAATTGATTTTTTTCACTCAGAGAATATTAAGATATTGGAATTATCTATATATTCTCTGAAATTTGCGGGATCAAACAATCTTTTTTAAGTTGCATGTTCTAGAATGTTGCTGCCTCCTATTCTTTGTTATTTCAGAGTTTGGAAGTTATTTTTAGTTACTGAGATTTGTGTGTGTGTGTGTGTGTGTGTGTGTGTGTGTGTGTGAGAGAGAGAGAGAGAGATGTTTTCCTTTCTGACCTTTAATTGCTTGGATTATAATGAGAAGAAAATCAGAGATGTATAGTTTTTAATTGGTACACATTTCTTTTTAATGTTTAAAATATTTTAAAATACATTTTAAATATTAGAAATTTTCTTTTTGAAAAATTGTCTTTTTGATAATGTGTGTGCTTAGTTTATGTGTCAGATATTAAGAATACAAAAGTGGGAATCTTCCCACAGTGGCCATAGTTTCTTTGGAATAAATATGTTGCATCCCAATATGATGAGTGTGTGTTTAATGTGAATTCATTCATTCCAGATTGGCAAATAGGGCACTGTTGACAGTATGACAGGGAAATTTTGCCATGTAACAACAACTGGCCTGAAGTAGATATGTGAACACAGCAGTGCAGAACTCTGTCCACATCCTGCTTTCTCGGCTCGTTGTGGCTGTGGGTCTGTTCTGAAAGCCTTTGTTCTGTGACTGGTCCGGGTCTCTGGGCGTGTTTTCCTTTGCTCTCTCAGCTTCACATCCTCAGTCTGTTCTTCTTTCCCTTCCATTAAGTTTTGCTCAGTAAGATCCTGTTCCTGGTATTTCTAATAGGACTTGTTTTTGTTGGTTCTCTACTTAGACAGCTGTATAGGTGATAAGTGGTCTGCCTTAGTCCTTTCTCTCCGAGTCCTCCTATTTGCAGGGCATGGTTTTAAAATACATAAGGGTTTTTGAGCACTGCATAAATATTTATGGCCTAATAGCAAAGCTGTGTAGATAACAGCTGAGTCCAGCGCAAGGAAAATGATGCTGGAAACACGGAAAGGGAGCAATTTTCTTGGGCAAATTTAGAAAGGTATTGCTGAAGAGATTTTTGTTTCCCACTGAAGTGTGTGGGAACAGCATGAGAAAAGACACGGTTATAAATTCTAAGAACGTCTGCAGCAAGAAGAAACTGGCCGAAAGGAGAGTTAGTCGGAGGGCTTTAAGAACAGGAGCAATGGGGTAGTACTTCCTGCCATGTCTACATAAGCATTGGAGTGTCAGTTCACACGGGGTCTGCTGATGCTCGAGGAATGGGCTCAGCCTGCCCTTCACCTGATGAGGGTCCGAGTCCTTCTCTGCTTTGTAGCTGCTGCCACCTCTGCATTGCCAAGGCCTGTCTCTGTACTGAGTCTGCCCCTGGCTTTCTGGGCCCTAGGGTCTCTCAGGTGGTTGCTCCGTCTGTGCTTCCGATAGGTTATGTGCAGCTGCCCTGTCATTGTGGGCACAGAGGGCCAGTGTGAGGGACTGGGCCATTCCCTTTAGCTCTCATGGTAGCTCCTGTCGGTGAAGGCCATACGGCTTCCGATGCTCAGTTCCCCGCCATGAGATAGATGTCCCGTGCTCTGTGCCTTAGGGACTCTCCTTCAACTCTGTGGCTTTGCTCCTCCTCCCTTATTTTAATACAAGCATTTAGTGAAGGTCCAGGGGAGGGAGTGGTCAGTGCAGACTTGACAGCAGAGGTTCTTGGGATTCTAAACTCTGCGGCCAGTCTCCAGTTGACTTTAAAATCTATAGAAATTTTAGCTAGTTCTTCACCTTCTCATGGTGAGTTTCTTCTGCACATGTTCAGTCTAGAGTCCTGAACCTCTTTTTTTTTTTTTTTTTTTTTTTCTCCAGGAAGAACTTGTCTTTGATTTTAGTTTAAATTTCTTTGTATTTGCAACTCTGGATAATTTTAACAGTTACAGTTTTATAGGTCACCAGGCTTGTTCTTGGTATTAGCCTTGAGAGGTGGTATCATAAGTTATCTTTCAAGGTTTTCATTTGTCAGACAGGTTCTTTGACTCTGTAGATACTGGGTTGAGGTTTTCTTTTGTTTGTTTGTTTGTGTTCGAGACAGGGTTTCTCTGTGTAGTTTTGGAGCCTGTCCTGGAACTCGCTCTGTAGACCAGGCTGGTTTCAAACTCACAGAGATCCGCCTGCCTCTGCCTCCCAAGTGCTGGGATCAAAGGCATGCAACACCACCACCCGGCTGGGTTTAGGTTTTCTTAAAGGTAGTTTACCCTAGTTTCCCTTTATTCCCCTGGCTCAATCTTTGCCTCTGTGGGACAGCAGGTGAAGTCTGGAGGAGTCACTCCATCTTTTAATCTTGGTCTTGTTTTACCAACATCTCAGGAATGTCCAGATGTCCTCTGCTCCCCAGCTGCTACTTTACCTTTGCTCCGCTGCCATCCAGTCCAGTGCAGACACGAGTGACGAGCTCACAGGTGTCTCCTGGGGACATCGCCTACACCAGCCTCGCCTTTCTTCAGGCTGTCCTCTGTAGTACCTCTTGCCTCTAACCTTGACTTTCCTGGTAGTCACATGGCCTTAACAGGGAAGGTGTTTTCCCCTACCGGGGAAGGGTATTTCAAGTGCCAGTCCCCGGTCGTATCCCAGCCTGGTTTGCCATACTGAAATAAATACACAGCAGGATGGAAAAGTAGAGATACGTATGGATCTGATCTAGAATTTTCCTTTTGTGCAAGACAGTAAGTTTTGGGACCTTGGCTGTGTGGATGATTGTCAGATCCGTTTTTTATTGCCTTTTGTTGTCTGTTCCTGGGAACTGCAGCAAGGGCCTGACGCATGGTGGCCAGCGCTCTGCTGGCTACACCTCCGGTCTTCCTAGTGCCTTCTTCATTTCAATGTGTGACTCTGAATTCTTCTCTGGTGTTGTGCTGGAGACCAGGCGCAACCTTAGGCACATGCTGTATCACTGAGCTGCGTCCCTAACACTTCCTGTTTTTCAGTAACAGCTTTTGTCATACTGAAAATAAAAGAGAGAAAAAATTAAATTTGTTATAGTTGCAACCAGAAAATTAAGTTGCTTGGGAATGTGTCTAACCAAAGATGATGGTCTTCATAGGAAGAAGTTATCTTTTTTTTTTTTAAAGGTTTATTTATTTATTATGTACACAGTGTTCTGTCTGCATGTATCCCTGCACGCCAGAAGAGGGCACCAGATCTCATTACAGATGGTTGTGAGCCACCATGTGGGTGCTGGGAATTGAACTCAGGACCTCTGGAAGAGTAGTCAGTGCTCTTAAGTGCTGAGCCATCTCTCCAGCCCCAGAAGTTGTCTTCTTAAAATAATATTTTGATTAATTCTGGAGAATTTCCTCCAGTGTATTTTCCTCCCATATCCACCCTACCTACCCCCAAAACTTTGAGTTTTCTTTAAAAAAAAAATTATTTACTTATTTATTTTACATCCCGTTTACCATTTCCCCTCCCTCCTCTCCTCTTAGTGCCTCCCCGCCTCCCCTCTGCCCCCGCCCCATCTACTCCTCCTCCAGTTCTGTTCAGAAAAGGGCAGGCCTCCCTTGGGTGTCAACAAAGCACATGGCATGTCAAGTTGCAGTAAGACTCAGCACCTCCCCTTAAATTAAGGCTGGGCAGGGCGACCCAGCATGAAGAACAGGGCCCCGAAAGAGTTAGAAACAGCCCCTGTTCCCACTGGTAGGACTCTCACAGGAAGACCATGCTCCACAACTGTCACATATGTAAGCAGAGTGCCTAGGTCAGAACCCTGCAGGCCCCCTGCTGGGAGAATTAGATTCCTGGGAGATTCTCTTGCACCAGGTTTTTACCTTACCCCGAAATGCGCCCATCCCCTTGTCTCTCTCAGTACTCTCTTCCTCTGTCCTCGCCACCCCCCATCGCTTATGCTCCCATCCCCATCTACCCTCAGACCTCTCAAGAAGTCTCTTCTGTTTCCCCTTCCCAGAGAGATCTGGGCAACCCCCATGAACCCTCCTTGTTACCTAGTCTCTCTGCATCTCTGGATTGTAGGTAGCATAGTTATCCTTTATTTTACAGCTAATATCCACTTATAAGTGAGTACATACCATGTTTGTCTTTCTTGGTCTGGGTTACCTCTCTCAGGATGATTTTTTCTAGTTCCATCCAGTTGTCTTCAAATTTCCTGGTGTCCGTGTTTTGAACAGCTGATATTCCATTGTGTGAATGTACCACATTTTGTTTATCCATTTCTTGGCTGAGAGGCATCTAGGTTGTTTCCAGGTTCTGGCTATTACGAATAACACTGTTATGAGCATAGTTGAGCATGTGGTATAGTTGAGTATCCCTTGGGTGTGCCCAGGAATGGGATAGCTGGGTCTTTAGTAGATTGGTTTCCAGTTTTCTAAGCAACTGCCACACCGACTGCCTCAGTGGATGTACACGTCTGCACTCCACCAGCCATGCAGGGCCTTCTCCCGTGCTCCACATCCTCACCAGCATGAGCTGTTTGTTGCTTGTGGTTTTGATCTTGGCCATTCTGACTGGTGTAAGATGGAATCTCAGAGTCGTTTTGATTTGCATTTCCCTGATGGCTACGGGTGTTGAACATCTCCTTAAATGTTTCTTGACCTTTTAAGATAATTCCATTGAGAATTTGGTGGTGGCGCACTCTAATCGCAGTTCAAGGCCAGCCTGGTCTACAGAGAGAGTTTTCTTCTTTACTGCACACCCCGTTGGATTCAGTTTGAGTTGCCCAACTGCTCTTGGGAGTGGGCCCTGCCCTGGAGTGTGATGGATGCCCCAAGCTCACCCCGTAAAGAAAGGTGACTCTGTCTCCCACCAGCGCTCAAGTGCTCGTGGCTCCTCAGACAGTAGGTTCGTGCCTGTCTCTGCCCTCCGTCCCAGAAAGGAATCAAAGAAACAGTCCCATTCGCAACAGCCTAGGGGTGGGGTGGGGCGGGGATAAAGCTAACTAAGGAAGTAAAAGACTTGTCTAGTAAAAAAACTTAATAATAAAATAAATAAAAGTTCCAGAGATTAAGAAAGGCTTCTGGCCGGGCGGTGGTGGCGCACGCCTTTAATCCCAGCACTCGGGAGGCAGAGCCAGGCGGATCTCTGTGAGTTCAAGCCAGCCTGGGCTACCAAGTGAGTTCCAGGAGAGGCGCAAAGCTACACAGAGAAACCCTGTCTCGAAAAACCAAAAAAAAAAAAAAAAGAAAAAAAAAGAAAGGCTTCTGATGCTCATGAATTAGTAGGATTAGTATTGTAAAAATGGCTGTCCTACCAAAAATTATTTACAGGTTCAGGGCAATACCCATCAAAATTAAGATATGATTCTTTACAGAACTTAAAAATTAATTGTAAATTTCATTTTGAAACACAAAATACCCAGGATAGGCAAAACAATTCTGAGCAATAAAAGAACTGCTGGGGCCTTCCAGTCCCTGACCGTGTTATCCTACAGGATTAGAGTAATAAAAGTAGCGCTGTACTGGCACAGGAACAGACACACCACTCCATAGCAGAGAATTGAGAACGCAGACTCCACACACTTACTCCACGTGAGTTTGTGACAGGAGCCACAAATACATAGGAGAGAAGACAGCATCCTCATGCTGGTCAGGCCACAGACTTTTCACACACTTACAGCCGTGTGAGTTTGTGACGGAGGAGCCACAAATACATAGGAGAGAAGACAGCATCCTCGTGCTGGTCAGGCCACAGACTTTTCACACACTTACAGCCGTGTGAGTTTGTGACGGAGGAGCCACAAATACATTGGAGAAAAACAGCATCTTCGTGCTGGTCCATTTGGATAGCTGCATGGAGAAGAGTGAAACTAGATCACTGTTTTGTCTAGCACAGAGCTGTACTCCAAGTGGATCAGGGACCTTGATATTAGACCTGATACTCTAGTAGACAGCAGGGAACAGTGGGGAATCAGCCTGAACTCATTGCCATAGGAAAGGACTTTCTCAGCAGGACCCCAGTAGCACAGGCATTAAGACCAACAATTGACAAATGGGGATGGCTTAAAACTAAAAAGCTTTTGTACCACAGAGGACATCATTTGAGTAACAAAGCAGCCTAAAGAATCAGAAATCTTCTATCAGTGATGTGTTTGATAGATGGTTAGTTTCTAAATTATACAAAGAACTAAAAAAAAAAATAATAACTCAATTAAAAAGTGGAGCATGGAGCTAAACATAGAGTTTTCAAATGATGAAATACAAATGGCTTTATGTTGTCTTAATCTCATGGCCAGCAAAGAACCAGATTTTTTAAGTCTACAGTGAGTCAGATGAGGTGATGCATGCCAATGATCCTAGCCCTCGGGAGTGAGGGGATCAGAAATTCCAAGCTAGCCTGGGCTACATAGTGAGGCACGTCAAAAAAAGACAACTTTATAATGAGTAATAAAAACTCACAAGCAGTATATTCCCGAAGAGAAACAGTGTATGAACTCAGAAAAGTACTCAGCCGCTTAGCTAATCAGAAAACGGAAGATTAGCTGGGTGGTGGTGGTGCATGCCTTTAATCCCAGCACTTGGGAGGCAGAGGCTGGCGGAGCTCTGTGCAAATGGAAATTTAATGTGATACCAAAATGTCACTTTCATGGCAAAGTCCTGTGGAAGGTGTGCTAATACCTGGCTTTAATGAGGTGAGCAGGAGCAGAACTCTGTTGTATTGGTGGTAAACAAAACCATCCATATGAAAAGCCATTTGTGCGAGTGCATAGAAGTAAACAGGTCTATACCCAATGTGTCATCTGTGGACACTGGAATGTATTAGTTGAGGGATATATATATATATATATATATATATATATATATATATATATAATCACTTAAAACAACATGGGGATAATGAAAATTCAATACCTGATGTGTCCTGGACACTGGAATGTGTAAGTCGAAGGTACATACATGGTTGCCTATAGCAAATGGGAATAATGAAATTTGAAAGTAGTTCAGGTGTCAGTTGCCAGGAGGATGGGCACAGGGCACAACAAGTGGATTGCTAGTACAGGAGGTATGGCATGTGCAAGCATGGGATTTCTAAACTATGTCATAAGCCACTGCAGGCTTCCTGGGGCATGGTCCATTTTTGTAACGTTAAAAGCAAGCACAGTGCAAACATGAGTACAGATTATATGTGATGCAGATCTACTTTTAAAGAAAAAGCATTTCTTGTTCAGTAACGTTCAGAAGACTGAAGACTTTAAGAGTTAAACAGTGACATCAGGTGGGAACACATGGAGGCGTCTATGATTTGGTAATGTGTGCTGTGATGTATTGTCATTTTATTGTAGTTACTAATTCTTACTGATTTCTTCATAGGCATGAAGTAGTTAGAGCTGAACAAATAGCTCCCTTCTACTGGCAGTCCTTTTCAGTAGCTAAGACATTGACAGTGAGAGAACCTTGGTAATCTCGTGAGCTTTCTGACTTGCTTGTTAGTCTATCTTTCCGCAGTGACCCTTTCTTTCAGAAGGGGTGTAGCGCAGGGAGATGTAGAGAAGGACTGCCTGGCTGGCAACTTGTTCACCTCTTTGTGTGACTTTAGATGAATTAGAACTGCTGTCTCTGTTTCATCATTGGCAAAATGCCGGTTATCATTGTGAAAAATTAATGAGTTCCTAAATTTTCAAGTTAAAGAATCACTGTCCTGCCAAGCACACAGTAAACATCACTGTACACTAGCATGCCTGTGATTAATACCTGATCATTTAAACAATGAAAATGCTTTGTGAACTGTTACAGTTCTAACAGGGATTTCTATTCTTCCCAGGGAAGCTTGCCATAGGGATATTGTGAATTTGCAAGTGGAGATGATTAAACAGTTTCATATACAACTGGTACGTATAGCAAATCGTGTGTTAAGAATGTAGAGTATGTGGATCTGAAAAAAAAAAAAATCCATGAAAAACCAATACATTTTTACTTAGTTGTTAGAGCTAATTGCCAAGGTAAGTAAATGGAGTTTCAGACATTTTACTAAGTGAATTAGATCTTAGCTGCTCACCTACTTTTGAATTTGTGATAGTTAAGGCTTTTTTTTGCACAGATTTGTTTTTTGATGACTAAGCAAAAAGATTCCCAAATGTGTGACTGTAAGTCTTCCAGATACTTAATTTCTCTAGTAATCTTTGTGGTGAAGCCCAAAAACTACCATGTAGCTAGTTAATTGAGCATGAAAGAAGTGAGAGCTCGGTGTATGTAGCACACAGCTTTCTGAGTAGTGTGCAGAGCCAGTGATTTAAAAACCATTCCCTTTTCCAGAATGAAATGCACTCTTTGCTGGAAAGATACTCAGTGAATGAAGGCTTGGTAGCTGAAATCGAACGGCTTCGAGAAGAGAACAGAAGACTCCGGGCCCACTTCTGAGGACTCGGACGACCCTCATTTTTTTATGAGTTGGGAAGTTTCTGGCACCTAGGAGTGACAGATTCAGTATTGTTTTCATGGCCTTGACAGTGGATGCTGTGGCAGGCACTGTTCCACCTATCAGCCATATTTATATTTTTATATTACAACTGCACAGAATACTGTCTTCCTGAGAGGGAGGTCAACGGGCTCTTTATGTTCTGAACGCCTTAGCTAGACACTAAGTGCCCTTTTCCTAAGAGAAGAAAATGTGCGTAGAAGGATAGGTTTATATTTTGTAAGTGACTTTTTAAAACATATTTTTGATGGACAAATTGTATTCCAAATTTTTTTTTTTTTTAGGTAGCCAACTTTTAAAACATTGATATACCTTCTGTTTCATGAAGAAATAACTTTAAAGTGGCAATTGGATTTTTTTCATGCTATCGATTAGTCATTATTTTGTTAGCATGATAACATTAAGTATGACTTATTGCTTGTGTGTATGGTACATGTTGAAGCTTTGAGTTGTACAGATACATGGTACCTTTAGCAATTCTGTCGCTGTGTTCTGAGGGCTCTCTACTCTGGTTACCGAACTTAACATAGGAAAAACTTCTAAGAGTTTGGAAAATTCAAGGGCTATACATCTGCTGATTGTCTAATGAATTAACAGTGTGCAAAATCATACTACAAGGTTTTAATCACCATGGCTCAACTTATAATCAATGAAAATTTATTGTAAGATACTAAATATCACAATATTGTTGCCATTTTTTTCCTCACAAATAAAAAGCATAGATTATTTTTTCTGTGCTTTGTACCATTAACTTTCTCTAATTATAGTATGCTACAAATAGTATTTTTCTATTGTTAGCCTTACCATAGTATTATTTATATAGGTTCATCATGAAAGGAATTTGCACATTGGCAGCAGCTCGACATGCTCATCTGCCTGCTGTGATCCACTGTTTGATAGAATGTGATGAGGAGCTGCTCATCCATCTACATTCTTGTTGCCTCTTGCCCAAAGATTTCAACCGTGTACTTTGTTTGTATATAGGTCTGTTGCCCAGTTTTGCTTTCTGGGATCAAAATATTTACTAAAATGCAGCTTAGTTTGCCAACTTTATGGTTTTCTAAAGTGATGGAAGGTGTAAGGATATATTTAATAGAAACCAATGAATAATTATTTCCAAAAACGAAACAGGAATGACTTTTCCCAGGTGACTCAGATGCTGTAGTCTTTTCTTGGCGGATATGGCGGCATTATGACTTGTAACAAGTTTCCTTATATGTCACTCAAACAAGGTTAGAATGCAGAAGTACTTTGTCTATACGCTATATTTTAATAAATTAATATTTTCCTTCTTTTATCTATAGCTGTATATACTGTGTATGAAAAGGGGTCTGATAAAACAGTTCAGTAATTTTTTGTGTAGGTGAAGTGCTTGTCATGACTTAAATACCAAGTACAGTCAATAAATTTTTTGCATTCAGAACAGACGATCTGAACTTGAACTTCTTGTCTCTGGCTGAAATGGAATAATAGGGATTACCTTAGCCTTCCATCGGAAATTTGAAAACAAAAGACAAGATGTACAAAATAGTTTCTGTATGTTAGCATGAGGACCACACAGTCGTCTCTGAGAGACACTGAATTCTCAGGGTAACATGACAGCAAATTTCTTCAAACCGGCAAGGGAAATTGAAAATAGAAACTGAAGAAAAGAGGGAAGAGGATGTCTTGGCAGAATGTCTTCAAAGTTTCTGAAGGTGGATCTGCAGTTTAGATTTATACTCAGTGAAAGTGGTTTTCAAAAATGAAAATGAAACTTTTTCTTCAGACCTCGAAAGGCTGAAAGAGTTCAGGGAGCTACAGGAAATGTTCAAGAAGGAAAAGGATACCATGAAAGTTGTAACTACACAAAGCAACCAGGACCCACAATGTTAAATACTAAAGATACTTCCCATTGTTTCAAAGATAAATGTAAGATGTTATCATGTTCTTAACCAAGGTAAAGCTGACATATGGGCTATGATCATGGTTGGGAGGATGCAGTGAAGTAGCCTGTCCTGAGTTGTTCACACTTCCGTAGCAGGATGACAATAACTGGAAGTAGACTGCCATAAGGAAGAATGTCAGCTGTAATGGAAAAAAATTGTAATAAGCCAGTGAAAGTGATCAGTTCCAACCATAAAACAGCAACAACAACAAAAGTCCAAACGGCCTGGGCGTGGCTAAGTGGGTGAGAACACCTTGATGAGAACCACTTTGAATACCTAGGGTCCACGGCACATCTGCAGGGCACATCTGTAATGCTGTTGCGCCTACTGCGAGGTGCGAGGCAGAGACAGAACCTCTAGAAGACTGTGGGCTGGCTGGATGGACTGACATCTACATAGCAAACCGAAGACTCGGCCTCACCCACTCTGGAAGGGGAAGATTGACACTACTGATCGTCTTCTGACCTCTGAGTGTGGACTGTGGTACATGCATGCCTGCACTAATGGACACTAATGCACACACTTACACAAATCCGAAAGAAGGTAGCTGAAAAGGTAAACAAGTTATGGGACAAATAAAAAATAAACAGCAAGATGGTAGACTTAAACACCTCTAGAATTACATTGCCTATAGGTTGTCAAAAGTTACTTTTATTATCAGATTGAATCTTTTAAAGACAACCCAACTGTACTGAACATAAGAAATCTAGTTTAAAGATGAATATATAAACTGTTTAAACGTGAAAAATAAAGTGAGCAGTGTATTGAGTTGAATGCAAATGAAAATGAGATTCTGGAGAGAAGGCTCAGTTAAGAGAACATACTGCTCTTCCAGAAGACCCAAATTTGGTTCTCTGCACACACGTTTGGTGGTTCACAACTTCCTGTAACTCCAGCTCCAGAGAATTTGACAACTTCCTTTGGCCTCTGCAACCATGCTCTCTCCCTCTTCCTCTCTCCCCCTCTGTCTCCCTCATTTTCATCTCCCTCTTCCTCTTAAATAATTAAAGATAAGTCCTTAAAAACTGTGGAAACCACACTGTAGTATTTGTAGAGGAATGCATAGCATCAAAAGATTATTTTAGGAAAGGAAAGACTCCTATATTCAGTGACCTCAGCTTCCATGTGCAAGTAGAAAAATAGGTGAGCCCCAAAGTAACAAGAAGAAAGGAAAGAATGCAGTGGAAACAAAATCAACTAGGGGGAAAATAGTGAATTAAAGAGCTAGTTCTTTGCAGTAAAACTGATAAGCCACTAGCCACAGTACTGACAAAAGTAGACATAATTTCAGAAGCAAAAGAAATCACCTGTTCTACAAGTATTTCTGACCAAAAAAAGCCAAGTATGAAAACTGATTAATCCCTTCATGCATTTACAGAAAACACCTATGGTGAACAAATGCTCGCAATGTTGAGACCAGAGTTTGGTATCCAACTCACAAAGGCCAGCCTCACTCTGCTAGTCAAAGAAGATAGCATTCTGACATAAATGCAGGCAATCCCACATCACAGTGTAGTAGTTCAAATCCAGCAGTCTTTAAAAAAAAAAAAAAAAAAGATACAGCCAAAGGAGGTCGTCAGGAGTGCAAGCTTGGGATAATAAGGAAATCTTAACAGTCTATCACAAAGCAAACATGCTTTTGGTAGATGCAGGAATGTTTGACAAAGCCAGTATTCACTACTCCTGATTTAAAACTCAGATGCAAGTGAATATACAAAAACTCATTTCTATGTAAGCAGTAATTAATGAGGAAATTACATGCCACTTAGAATAGCATAAAAATGTGAACTCATGAGGGATAGATTTGATAAAAGACTTGTACACTGCATTCTCCAGTGAAAAGGTAAACTTTAGTAGTGTGGTATGCATATCAGGGGTTGAAAACCTCAGTACTGTGAAATGTCAGTTTTCACATTGACTTGTATTCAACAGAACGACAATAAGAATGTTAACAGTTTTTTTTAGATAGCATTTTTGAAACTACCTTCAAAATTTTGAAGTACAAAATATTTGGGTAACCAAATAATGTTGGGAAAATAGCACATTAGTGTTTACATTTAATAATTTCTTGTTAAAAGGCACAACTGCCCAAGATAACAGGTAAGTATAAATAGTCAAATCAGTATGGTACCATAAAGTTCAGAAGTATATTCTCTCATCAGTACACATATGTTAGGGAGAGACCACCAGAGATCTCATAGTTGATAGCCAATTGTAAGTCTTTGTTGCAGTTAACTGGGACTACACTCATATATTTGAGACCCAAGTGTAGCACTGGGTGTTAGAGGTTTTTAAAGGCAAAAACTGCATCCTGAGTCTCACTTGGCAGCTACAGGGGGAGGTTTTGCATAGGCAAGCAGTTTTACAGAAGCTAAGATAAGCAGTTACACCTGAAGGGGGAGGTTTGCACGAGCAAGCTGCTTAACAGAAGTTAGCTGGAGCATCTTGACCTCAGATTTGTAGAATAGAGTTGAGTAATTTTCTTTGTGACTTCCCATCAAGTGAATCAAATTCTAGTTAAACCTAAAATGGCCTCAGCAAATGTACAAGATGGAGGAAACTCTGCACTGTCTTTCCCTGTCACACATATTCCTCAACAGATTTCTGACAAATACAAATCAATAGAGGAGGTTATGATTTGTTTTGTTGAATGAGTGGATATCTATTTGGAACAAAAATGTGAGGCATACTTTGTACTATATAAAAGTTAACTAAAATAGATTGAGCTACATAACTTTTTAAAAGATAGTTCTGGAAGACAACATAAGGCTTATGAGCTTATCAGTTTTGTATATGTCAACAAATAAAACTTTTGAAAGAAAAACCTAATTTTGACTTGAGCAACAATTGATACACTCTTCAAAAAAAAAAAAACCTCAGATTCAAAACACTAGGCATAATGGGAAAGATGCCATTTACTATCTTGCATTCAACGTAAGTTTTGAAGTGGGCAAATGATGTAGACAGGCACTTCAACAGTGATGGTGGTGAGTGTAAGAGACCAGCCCCCACACTTATTTACCCCAGGGATTCTTGAGAAATGAGGGAGAAGAGACTTAGTTAGAAATAAGGAGAGAGAGACACACAGAAAACAGGATAGACTTGGTTGGGCCTGAATCCGTATCTACCAGCCCAGAACTTTATTCCAAAGGGCTATTTATAACAATGCCAAGGGGTGGAGCAAAAGACCTCCCCCTTGCTAGTTAGACCCTTGCAAACACCTGGTACCCAGGCCCGTGGTCCAATCAACCTCCCATGCAGTCCTGCTGGGTACAGCCACTGGGAAACCTAGTGGGCTCCAACAGGTGAGGCTGCAAGTGTGCCCATGGGAAGAGCTGTGTAATCTCAGTCTTCAGAGAAAGACCAAGCCAGGAGATGCTGCTGCACATTCATTTAAGTACAGAGACCTAGAAATCCGGCTTGATCTTGGGTTGGTAAGGAAGTAGAACAACTGATTTTTACAGTTGAAGAAGACAGAATGGTACAGTCATTCTAGGGAACATCTTAGTTTCTCCCATCATCCACAAGTCACCTACCTTAGCCATTCCACTCCAGACACTTAAATAAAACTTGCACAGGAATGGTTACAACAGCTCTATTGTAACATCTGGAAGCCACCCAAACACCTGTCAATAAATAAAGGAATAAACAAATCACGGCACAGGTAATGGATCTCCACCCAGCTATGTGAAAGGAAGAATTCTAATGGGCAGTGATGTGGATTAGCTACAAAAACTATCAACAGAAGCCAGTGCTATATGGTGACATGCAGTTCTAGAAAATGCAAGCCTACCTTGGCAGCAATCAATGTTTGACTGTAAACATTAAGGAATAGGGTAAGAGAAGGTTACCAAAATGTCACAGGAAGACTTTTGTCGCTGATGACTGCATTGTTTGGTTTTTGATGATAGGAGAATTCATGCCAATATTTTTCAAATTATATGCTTCTTGTTATGAATATTTTACTGTCAACTGCTTCAACTTGTTCTTTTCAAGACAAAGTCTACATAGCCCAAGTTGGCCTCAAACTCCATACAAAGCTGAGGTTGACCTTGAACTTTGTTTTTTTTTTTTTCGAGACAGGGTTTCTCTGTGTAGCTTTGCGCCTTTCCTGGGACTCACTTGGTAGCCCAGGCTGGCCTTGAACTCACAGAGATCCACCTGCCTCTGCCTCCCGAGTGCTGGGATTAAAGGCGTGTGCCACCACCGCCCGGCTCGGCCTTGAACTTTTGATCATGCTATTTTACCCTTCCATGTGCCACCAACAAAGGGGATCACTTCTAATGTATGGTGCAAGTATGTTGAAATTACTTACTCTCACCCCTTACATCCTTATTATTATCCAAAATATGAAATAGAGATAATTGAAAGAATAATTTGATGCCAGCTTGGCACTCAGATCTTAGTTTACTTTCCTGTTGCTATTAATTCTCTGACAAAAGTAACTTACGGGAGAAAGGGCTTACTTGGCTCATAATTCCAGGTCACAGTCTGTCGTT